CCGCAAGTGGCAGGCAGTCCCTTAAATTATTTGGCATTACCCTTAAGTACCCGATCAGTCAGGGCAATTCAGTTTGATGTCTAAGAGCTCTACACACCTGCAATTACTTAAATCCACAAAATTGCACCCATAGGTATCTGCAGGCACAAAAATGTTGGCATAAAATTAGAGGCCATTTCCTAAAACCTGTGCCTAAATTTTGATGATATACTATATGAGGGGTTGTTATTTTGAAATGGATTTGTGGAAAGCAATTGAAAATCTCCAGGCATCCCATCTGTGTTTAAAGTAACAACAATAACAAAACTTTAAATTAGCATAGGAGATTTAAGACATTTCAGGAAAACATTGATTAAATCTGCCAATGAAATGAACGTGTTTGGCGAGTGACCTAATTAGTGTATACTTGGTTCTTTTTCACTGCACGGCTTACCACTAATTGCTGTTCTGCTGGTCTTCTCTTGACAAGTAAGGAAAAACAAGGATGAGGGATTTGTTGAGGAAATAGTGACATTCAGTTTTAATTCATTTGAACCTGCTGCCAAGCTTAATTATGGAACTGAGAAACTGAGACCGGGAGGCCCCCAGCCGTTTAGGTTATAGGAGACAGAGATGTTTAGTGTCTGCCAGTGTATTTGGGTAGCACTTATTGCAGCTAGCTATAAACCTGTCCTTGCTGATGCTTAGCTGTTTTCTCTCCCTCACAGGTACAAGCCCACTGATTTTATTCCTTAAATTTAATTATTTAGCTCTAATGGCGTCAGGCCAAAACAAAGTTACAGGCATTTTATTTCTTAGAGGAAAGGTTTAACAATTAATCTAGATAGTCTTGTCTTGGTTGTGTGTGTGTGTGTGTTTGCATGTACAAACTAGTAATATGTCATTCTGTAAAAAAACTTCAAGATCCTGGAATACTTGTTGTAGCATTGGAGTGCCAAAGTCACCCTCAGTGTAAGTACACTTGAGCTGAGGGGCTCATGTCAGTGATAAATTCAATCCCCATCTCTTGAAGCAGCAGAAGATAATGCAGCTTTCCCTATTTGCGTTTGGAGCTCTTAAAGGAAAAAGGCAGGCTGCTTCATGAAAAAAGGGGAAATAGTTTTGGTTTTGGTTTCCTGTGGTGGTGATGGATTCTTGTGAGCAGAGTCTGAAGGTCCCGGATTAGAATCTGAGTGCATTTTTCATGATGTTCTGCACAAAAACTGGTGTGTGTGTGTGTATAATCCATTGACCAGAATGTTTATGAGGCACTGCACACACACAAAAAAAAAACAAAAGGGAAAAAAAAGCTGTGGAATTTGAGGCTAGCAGTCGGTGGGGCTGGTGGGGCTTGCACTTGTTTTTAAAAGAGGAAAAAGAAATGTAGATGTTTTCTTAGAGCAGCAGCATCCCATTGGCAGACCCTGGTCTGAATCCCTCCCAGGGGATGCTTCCAGGCAGCCTGCTGCCGTTTCCCAGGAGGAGCCAGGGAAGAGTTATCTGAGCAGGGATGGGTGCCTGGGCAGCCAAACCTGCCGGTGCTGCACCTGCCGGGGCCAGCCGCAGCAGCCCGGCTCTGCCGGCGGGGCCGGAGGGGAGCACAGCCTACGTGTGCTTCAGCCGCAGCCCGGGCAGGAGGGAAGGGCTCTCGGCACAGGGGGCTTGGGGATTCATTTGTGCAATGAGGAGAGCTGGAGGGGGTGTTCCAAGACCCAGCTTTAGCTTCTGTGGGGGCTAAACTTGATCTGCCCTGAAAAGTATATAAAACCAAACAAACAAAACCCCTCAAAACCCAAAGAAAAAAAGCCAGTGCTACTTTGTTAGTTCCAGAGACCCCCAAAATGAAGTGAGATTATAAACAAATGAAATATGTTAGTGTAGGTCACCAACATAGGCTATAAACCTCTACATGGAAGAACGTAAACTATAAAAAAGGCAGCATGCCTGGTTTTCTGTTATATAGCATTGCAGGGTTCTTGTAAGGATACTTGAATGCTGAAACAGCCTGGGAACTTGGCTTCCCTTGCGGCAGATTGATGTTCTTTGGACGGATTTTCAGCCATGGAGTGATTTTGTCCTGATGTTCTGTGTGTGGTGGAGAGATGTGTCGGGAGCGGGGAGGGCCAGAAAAAGATACTTGGAATGAAAATGAACTTGAGGGAAGGAAAAAGAGCAGCTTTGCAGTAAGGCTGGGAGTAGTAATACTAGAATGCATAATGGGCAGCTAAAGACGCAAGGTTTTTTTGTCTTGAGACTCTGACTGGATCTCTGATGTGGTTATATAGTTCCTTATACCCGTTGAATAAATGTTTAGAAGATATTGATGGTTTTAGATATTATGGACTGATGTTAATCTTCAACAATTCACTATGTTAGGTATACCTGATCTCTATAATACAACACCAGAATATTCTTAGACGTTCTGGTTTGTATTTACAAGCAGTGCTAACTTACATGTGAATACTTACTGTGCTGTCTAGAAAGTCACAGTAAAAACCATTTCCCTTCTGTTATTGCATACATGAATCCTGCACTTTACACTGATGACAAATATAAAAATCTAACTCTATTATCTGTTTTTAATGCCAATATTAAAACTTATTTTTGCACTTTCACCTCCTAGTTTTTAGGCGTGAACATGGTGAGAAATAAAAAGAAATTTAGTCTTCTGAGAAGAGCACCTTGCTATCCTAAAGAATCATTTGCTCTGTGTTTGATCCAAGCTGTCCCATGACTTCCCAGGGTATTTCAGGTGTCCTACTTGGCAGCTCTGGCTTCTTGTCAGGATCTCTCATCTAGCAAGATGGAAGCTGCATCTAATTGTATCTGCCCCCTTCCTCCTAGAAGCTGCTCTCCCAAAGGGCAAAGGCATTGGAGAAATCTAGGGAGGACTCTTGCTCTCTTGTAGCATGTTTTTTCATTCAAAGCAGCATCAGCTTTACTGCTGCTCTGCAGTAAGGAGAGATAACACTGCAAAGCAAAATACATTGTAGAACAAGCTGATTTAAATATGACATACTCAGTAGAAATAAAAAGGGGTAATGAAATGGGGGAATCTGAGCAGGTAAAACAGCCCCACCTCCCCAAGTTGACCAAACTCCAGTGTACTTCTTCCTTGTGGTGTTTATTAGATCTGCTCTCCCAATGTACAGTTGTTCTAGGCTTTCCCTCAATTTGTAGTAATGCCCTAACAAAAATTCACCCAAACCCAAAAAAAACCCAGAAAACTGAGGGAAGAACAGAAAGGTTCAGATCTTGACTTTGTTATCAAAGTAGTGCTTCTCATACTCTTTAAGTAAGTCAGCATCAGCAGTTTCTTTAACAATTTTGGCTGTTTCTTTTTTCTTATTTCTTTTTTGTTTTCATAAAATTTTGAGTTTTAAGCCAAGAAAACAAAAAAGTCCATGTGCGCAAAATTCTGTCATCACTGGATCCCTGCATCGAGTAATGCATACATACCAAAACAATAATAAAGAGATGTTTATAACTTGGGGGGCAAGGTGATCACAAGCAGGCACTCTTATACCTAGATTTGGTGCAGAGGGGAAGGCAATAAGGCCTCCCAGGAGCAGGAAGGAAGGCTGGCAAAAGAAATAAAAATGGATACGGCAGGAAAGCATATCTGTGGTTGCCTCCTGTATGATGTGTATTGACCTAGTAAATGGAGATGTCTGCAAAGGAGCTGCTATGCTATAAATATGCTTGTGCTAATATTATTAAAGCTTTCAGCCAGTTCAGTTTCATCCACATGGCTTTCCAGGGAGATGCCAAAGAGGTGGCCCTTGGCCACAGCTTGTCTGAGCAGCACGTGCCTACCTGCGCTGTAATTGCTTAATAAGATATAGGCTGTGGTTTTCCCGGGATGGATTGTGAAATATATGCAGCTGCCAAAATAGGTGCTTGGTGAGATTTTTAAGTCTTCCTAACTCTGCTGAAATCTTTATGAGCAAGACAGTTGAATGCTGTTGAAGACCAGAGATAGCTCAATGCTTAGAAGTTGTGAAAAGCCCATTCCTTGTCCTCTTTGCCCTCCTTTATATCTTTAAGAAAATAAAAATACTTCCAGAGTTGTTGATATCCAGGTGGGGCTTAACAGCACTGGTCTTGTTTGAACATACCAGTCTTGCTGATTAAAGGAAGAAACGGAGATGGAAGAAGAGAAGATAGGAAGTGACTGGATGATTAATAAACTAAACTAATGCAAATACTGGGAGTAGGAAAGCCATTTAGAAGCCGATGATTATCCCTTGCGAATCCCTAAGATCTAACCTCACTAAGCTGCTGTTTGGATGATACTCTGAAGCCATTCCTGGTAGGGACCTGGCCCTTGTTCCAGCAGAGAGGGCAGCGAGATAAAAGGGATGTGGTTTAACCAGGCTGTGACTTTATTATCTTACCATCTTCTAGAACTATCTGGCGGTCACTTGTAGAGCACAGGTTGCGATTTTTCCCTTAATGGCTCCCACCTGCTGGAAGGCGGTGCTCCCTGCCCCGACACAGGTGGCCCCAGTCTGCCACAAAGACTTGCTGCCCTCTTCTTCTGAAGCTTAGTCCTCATATGGGTTCAAGGGATAGGGAAATGGTGTTGTTTTCTCACTTAGCCAGCCATTGCAAGCTGTAGCTTTGTATCCCAGGGAGGCCCATACTGCTGCTTCTTCTTGTAGAAGAGATGGGTCAAGAATCCAGGGCACCAGAGCCCCACAGGCATGTGCCCTTCTCCTTCCAGGGACCTGTTATCTATCAGGAGAGGCAAAGAGCTACCTTCTCTCCCCCTCTACTGCATGCCTTCCTGCACTTTGAAGCTTCAGGTCATTGCATTTCCTTAAACCCCACCAGGTTCCGGAGTGAAAGGTGTAAGAAATAGAGGTCTGATGGCTGGTGGTGGTGGCAGTGCTACTGGAAGACTATGAGATAATGTGAGAGAATGGAAAGGGTTTCCTTCTTTATAAAAATAAAATATTTACCTATCCACATACGCATGGATAATAATGAAAATGTTTATCTATCTGTTTATTTTTCAGGTTACGGTTTTGTAGATTTTGACAGTCCAGCAGCAGCACAGAAAGCAGTAGCATCTCTCAAAGCAAATGGCGTGCAGGCACAGATGGCAAAGGTAAGAACAACCACGTTATTACAGGATTATCTGAGCTGTTGGGTTAAATTTCCAAGAGTTTGTTTCGCTCCTGTTTTTCTTAAGGTTTTGGATTGCTTATTCCAATGGTTTTTTTGTCCTTTGGCTCCAGCGCCTTATTCATCCTATGGTTTGTGTTCTTGAGAGCTGTGTCTCATGTGACGGGTTCTGCTCTGATATTCACTCTCTGCCCATCTCTCTGGAGAGGGTTGCAAGATGGAGAGTGCTGGAGTGGCAGAGCAGTTGGAAATGCTTTTGTGCTGATTGCAGTGTGAAAGAGTTGCCTTTTCCTCACCTCGGAGTTATCTTCATTTGTTTCCTTTGCCTTGGAATAGTTACTCTTTTCTGATGTGCCTGGTGGGCTTCTCTGAAGGAGTGATTGACTGAACATAAGGAAAGTTTGTTTGATCTGCCTCAGTTTGGCTTCTGTCTTTTTATTTTGAGGACATAAACGGAAGTGTAGCAGGTTGCTGAAAGAATAGTTACTGGAGGTTGTCTGGAAGTGACTGGCATCTGTTGTTCAGAGAGGCTGCAGGAGCCATGCTGTACATCTTGTAGCAAGTGCAGTGAGCTCAGCTACTCTGGTCCTGGAATTGTCCTTTGTCCCCAAGCAAAGGGGCTGATGAGGAGTCAGGGGTTGTAGTAAATGACTGTCATGTGCTCCAGCTGCTGCCTTTCTGAAGGCATAATCATGTGTCTTTGGGCTTTAGACTGTGTCAGCCAGCAAAAATAGCTGTTGCTTTGTACTTTAAAAATGCCTTGCCCTAGAATCACAAAAAGCCCTTAATGTTGCCTGACATAGTCTCTGCAGAAATGATGCCGGCCTAGAACCTCAAACAGTAGAAAACAAACAGGTAATTACAAAAACAGAGGCTGATCAACTAATAAACAGTCACCACATTTGAAGATTCCCATTTAAAGGAATGCTGGTAACTTAAACCTTTGTTTTTCAACAATGTCATACTGAAAAGATTTTTTTTTTTTTTTTAAATGAAAAAAACTTTGCTGGTACATGAGGTTCTTTTGCCTTCTACTGAATTACACTCACTGTGCCTTAAAGTAACTGGATGTCATCCGTGTATTTCTGTTTAACAGTGACCCACAACGCAAGCCGTGCTGTTTTATTGGCTCTTAGTTTTTATTGACATGTGGCGATAAAAAATATTTGCTTCAAATGGGTAAAAGATGGCAAGCTTAAGAATGTGAACACCTACTAAGGACTGTGCTATTTTATTTCTCAGATATACTGCATCTCCTTGTTAAAATATAGGCAATTTGACACATTAGTCAAGCTGTGAAAAAGAAACCAAAGGCAGAAGATATGTTTTGTCCTACTGGTTGATATCAAATAGCCACTTCTGGGGAGAAATAAATCTCTAACTACATAAATCTGTAAAGTTGTAGATTTCAAGTTAGAGATTTAAAGATAGGATTGAAATATAAATCTATATTTGGTATTTTTGTGATTCAGAACAATGAATAATTTCAGCACTTACATGCGTGGGAATACCAAAACAGAAGGTGCCTCAAAATACTATGTTTTGGATTATCCAATATTTTGGGGACTAAAAAAAAACCCAAAGTCTGATGCTTTCAGAGTTGGAAGGACTGTACCAGCCACTGAGGCTTGTTTTCTGGGGCATCTGTGGCGGGAGTAGTTTTTTGCCCTGCATGATTTTGAGGTGGCTAGTGTGTACACGTTTGTTTGCGTAAGGCTGACTATATTTTTATTACTTAGCCATGGTGCCTGGAATCCCAGATAGGTTCTTCTTAGTGTGTTTGGTAGTTCAAGATAAATATACAACTGACTTTTCCTATCACTGAAAAAAATCAAAGTATTCAGAAAAACGGGGATTCAAAGGAAATTGAGATGACTACATGAAGTACTTCATATTGCTGAGAAGGCAGGAGCCTGGGAAAGCAAATCTATCTGGAGAAACGTGTTAGTTCTTGCACATGTTGGAAGCCAAGTTGCATAACAGGACTGAAAGACGCTGTTACCTGCCAGTGTCTGAATTAACAGTGAGGGCTTAGAAGAGGTTTGAAGAAAGAGGCAGAAGAATTTAGCCTCCATTTCTGGAAGTTTATCCAGAGCAGGGTGGTTTTTTTGGTTTTTGTTTTCCAAAAACTGCTTTAATTAGTGGTGAATGGTAGCTATCAAATGAAATCAAAGAAAAAAGGCTAAGTGTGAAGAAATTACCCAAACCTTTTACATGCCATACCTTTAAAAAATAGTGTCCTGTATCTTTTGTTCTGCATTGTAAAGCAGTGAAAATGCCCTGTGTAGGGGCCCAGGAGAAGACTGTAACCTGTGTTCAGCAAATGTCAAAAATCTCAGTCCAGTCGTGGATGCTTTTGAATAAAGGTGAAAGAGGCATCGGCCAACTTTTGCTATGCACTGGCCTTCTCCAGTAGCAAGAGAAAGTATGCTGAAGTGTCGGTATAGTCTGTGATGTTTTCCTGGAGAAAAATCTTGCTCGGAAAGAGTTCTTCTTTCTCAGTTTTAACACAATATAATTTTTCTTATAGAAATCCAGGAATCTTCTTTGAAAAACAAAAAGCAAAACTGAACCCCCACCCATGTTGGCTAGCAGAAGTATCTTGTGGATACTTGAGTAAAATATACTCATTTTATCGATGCTTAAATACAGCCACCTCCCTCATTTTTATAGCATTTGGACATCTTTTTGGCTGACTTTGAGTGCTGCCTCTGAAGAAGGTTAAACTCTAGTGGTTCGATGCTCCAAGTCCCATTGCTGTTGGAAAACTTGTTCTGTCGAGCCTAATACACCCTGTAACCCTACGCAGGGAAAAATATCATTAAACATGTTTGAATCTCTCTTTTTATTCTCTTGGATGCTGTTCAGCCTGGTGTAAAGTAGTCAGGAGAGGATTCGGCTGAGGGAGAGGAGCAGCAGCAGTATTATGACTGCAGAGGCAGTGGTGGCAGCTTGGTGGTGAGGTCTCACGGCTCCACAGACAGCCGCCCGCTTGGCGGGACAAGGACCCTCACAGCCTCCCACCCATGTGAGATCTGTGGGAGGCTCTTGTACATGTGTGTGTTGTCACCTTGCCTCTCTAGCATTTCCCTGGCACAGGTACCTGAAACAGAATTTTTGACTACTGCTAATGTTCTATGTCCAATGAAGTTCATCTAAGTTGTCCATCATTTTCAAAAGTGCTTATGAACAATTTCATTTATTGAGACGAATTAATGCTATGGAGCTGCTGAGTGATGGTTTCTCAGCTGGCCTGTGTCCTGGTTTCAGCTGGGATAGAGTTAATTGTCTTCCTAGTAGCTGGTACAGTGCCATGTTTTGAGTTCAGTATGCGAAGAATGTTGATAACACTGATGTTTTCAGTTGTTGCTCAGTAGTGTTTAGACTATAGTCAAGGATTTTTCAGCTTCTCATGCCCAGCCAGGGCACAAGAAGTTGGCACAGGACACAGCACCTGACCCAAACTGGCCAACGGTGTATTCCATACCATGGGACGTCACATCTAGTATAGGAACTGGGGGGAAAGGGGCAGGGGACCACGGCTCAGGGACTAGCTGGGTGTCAGTCGGCGGGTGGTGAGCAATTGCCCTGCGCATCATTTGTACATTCCAATCCTTTTATTATTGCTGTTGTCATTTTATTAGTATTATCATTATTAATTTCTTCTTTTCTGTTCTATTAAACCGTTCTTATCTCAACCCACGAGTTTTGCTTCTTTTCCCAATTTTCTCCCCCTTCCCACTGGATGGGGGGGAGTGAGTGAGTGGCTGCGTGGTGCTTAGTTACTGGCTGGGGTGAAACCACGACAGCCTGGCTTATTTTACTATGTGCTTCCTGCTTGCCTTTGGAAATAGCTCAGACATGCAGATTCGTTTATATGTATGTAGTGCCTGCTTGTCCAGGCTCGTAGAGTCCAGATGGTTTTTTGGTTTTGTTTTCCTACTAAAAACGGCACAACTGATATGCCACTGGATAATCTCACAGGAATTATTGATTTGTTTGTCTTTTTGTGCTAGGGACTAAACAAACACAACACAGAAAAGACAATGCTTATGCGCATGGTTTATATATCAGTTTGGGTTTTTCCATCTGCTCCTTTCCTACATTTTCTAGAAAAAATATTATAGACAGAACATGGAAAATTAATAAGGAGAATCTTAGTAATATGGGAGTTGGCTCAGACAAGTAGGCAAGGAAGCTAGTACACATGAAAAACATATCAATGTACTACTAAAATCTGTAGCCACATCTATTCTTGGGATTTGCAATAGTCCTTCACCCAGAATTGCATATTCATGAGGACACTTAACCTGCTCTATATGTAAGCTTTTAATGATGCTATGGAGTCTAAATCACCTGAAGAATCAATAGAAGCCTGTTGTCTAAATAAATTTGAGTGTCTGAACTTGTGTCAGCCTGAAGTTAGTGGACTGTGCAATCAGTTTATACCTTCATGGGCATTTTGGAGTCCTGTCTACTGTCTTTTATTTCCAGTTCTAGTCTGCTGTAAGATTGCATAAAGTGGAAGTTCAGGCAAAGGTAGGTCCTTGCAGAGAGTATATGATAATTTCTTTAATATCTAGCAGCCCATCAAGACTGTTGAAGCAAACACATTTACCAAGGAGGGGTTTTCAATCCTGCTGTTATTCCAAGTGCATTTATAAGGATTAAAAAAAATATTTGATGATGCATGTCTTCTCTGAGTTTTCCTTTTGTAAGTATAATGCATTTAGACATCCTCAGCACCTGTGTGAGAGACCTGGACATTGAAGAAATATTTAATTAGCGTTGGCAGTTGTCTAAGTCCAAGGAACATTTCTCGACTACTCTGCTGCAGTAATTGCCATCCAGAGGGTACACTGAAGGAGCTGGTTCTGAAAAAGGATTCTGCCAATAGGCTCGGATGTGTTTTGCTCGACAAGGGAATTACAGAATGTGATTTTGCTTCTTGTGTGATGTTTTTCTCATCTCTCCATCATGCAG